TATTCTTAGGTTCATCCTAAAGGCTTTTGCCACAAAGGAACTGTGCTGGGGTTTGCAACATTTCTCAGAATTTTGTATCATTTTATGTATGCTCATTTACTTATTTTGTTCTTAAAAAGTGGGGCAGGGTAAAATTATAGACCCTCTGTGCGCTCAATATATTAAGTCATATACATAGTTGCCCTGCAACCAAATTAAACTAGATCAAAGTAAGGAGAATTAAATAATGATATTTGAAAAGAAAATGTTTCATTTAAAATCAGAATTTTTAATTTTAATTTTAATTAAATCCAAATTAAAAATCAAAATGGGATCTGAAAACACAGAGAAGAAGAAACTTGTTTTCCTTTTTCTATCTATGAACAAAACGAAGTATTGTAAGATCTGCCACTTTGAAAATTTTTAAGGACATGGTGATCCAAAGTAGTTTGATAAGCTACAGACTCTCAACCAATCAGCAGTTCCAAAATTAAAATATATTTTAATACATTTACTTTCTTTATGTGTCTAGGACATTTCAGGTAGTCTCTGAAATTTAAAAAAAATCCACAATACTATTTTATGCATTCTAATTAAATTTCAATTTCCATTCAGATAGAGCTTGATAGAAATCATGAGCAAAAATAGTCATTAGCGAAAACCATAGATGTTAAAGAACATGATGAATTTATGCAAAGCTATATTAGTTTAAGTAAATACGTACAGATATGGATTATCCTCATGCATCTCAATTAGTCTTTTATAATTAAAAATCTAAATGCAAACCAAGGTTACAATCAGTTATTCTAATCAAGGTTTCCTGGGTTCTTAGGTAAACCATGATTAAAATCAGTGATTTAAATCACAGTGTTTGAAATCAATCCACAATGATGTCTGTGGTCTGTCTTTATTCTATGGTAAGCAAATAAAATAAAATAAAAAAGAGATAAAGGACTACATGAGTCCCTTCTGTCAAGCCCCCTAAATCCTCAACTGAATCTCCAGTACGTAAGTGAATACACGTTTGAGTGCCACAGAGATATGTGGGTTTGTATCATTAGCAGATAAACCAGGAATTGCAAAATGAGAAAATCTTTGTGTTATAGCACACACAAAAACACTAAAACCTTAAGGTTCAACATTGCACATGGGATTTTAAAAATTACATTTTAAGAACGAATTTTCAAACCCAGAATTGTTGAGCCCATCTAAGTTCCCCAAGGCACTCACTGAAGTTTATGGATATTGTGAATGTGTATCCCTTCAGGCAAAACTGAGCTCCCTGTCTTACACACAAAGTGCATCCACATCTGTGCCAAGTGTCCCTACAATACCTATACACTACGTAGCTTTGACACACAGTATGAAATTGCAGGGTATTTCCAAAGAATGAGCTCAAAATCATGATCTGGATGTTGCTTAATACCCTTTAAAGCCAAAAAATCACTGCAGATAACTTGCTTAGGAGCAGCCAGCCAGCTCTTCCCTTTCACTTCTTAAGTCTTCCCTATGGACTTGAAGGAGTTTTCAGAGTCAGGAAAAAAGGATAAAGAAAAAAATACTGAAAACTGACTCAAATGTGGCTAAATAGTTCCAAATCCTAGCGGCAGATTTTTCATAAGGACTTCGATTAAAAGGAATTTGGCATCCATTTTAGCCACTCGGCAAATTTCCAATGGAGAACTTTGTGATGCCTATAAATCAGCTCAGAAAGTATTTCTGAATATTTGCAACGATCACCTGTATCTTTATCTAACAAAAGGACGGTTATGTCCTCAACATAAAAGTGCATTAAGAATTAGAGAGGACTAAGGGCTGCACAGTAAATTTGCTGCTTCTCCATTCTGACGCTTTCTTGTTTCAAAACCAACCTCACTTTCCCCCCAGTGTCTGGGCAGTGAGGCAGAAGACGATTTCCATTTTTCCCCCTCCCACCTTCTTCTTCCACAGGGTAAGGTATGTTGGCTCTGCTCTGCCTCAGCATTACCAGAAACCTTGTTGGAAGTTTCAGATATTTACTTGGAGCTTTTCTGACTGCATCTTATTTGAATAATTAACAAGAATATCTCTCTCCCACAGGGTCATTAAGCTTATTATTTATATCACAATAGAGCTAAGATTCCCAGCTGTAAGCTGGGACCCAACTCTGTTAGACTCTGCACTGACAGGCGTGAAGGCGTTTGTCCTGGAGAACTTAGTTCTTTGAACCAGAACATAATGTGCAAAACAGAGCAGGCCAAAGATACAAAACGGTATTGTGAAATCTCCACGTGGACGCCTGCTGGTCGGGGAACAGCTGCACCAAAGATTATTTATGCACATATAACACTGGCCATTTTGAAAACTCTGGGCCACGTCTTGGCTCAGCTGTAATGCTTCGAACTTTCAGGGGAGACTGTTACAAAGAAAGGGGAGGTGAAAAATCTTCCCTGTGCTTCTTTCTAAGCGGTATCATCACTGGATATCTCGGCATATATAGGACACAAGTTAGAAGAGGAAACTGTGAAAGTCTCCGCAATCATTTCAAAAGATGATTTTTTCAAATGGAAACTTGCCAGTGGTTGTAGTGCTTCAGTTTCTTTCTGACAGGCAGCTTTCTCCTATCCACCTAGAAAGACCACTTCTCCTTTGAAATGCAATTTCTTAATTAATTCATGCACATCACTAAAATGATCCAACCTTTCAGCAAAAAGATAATCAGAAATAACTAAAACTTCCCTACCAGCACCCAGACAAGGAACCGACAGAGAATAGGCTCAACCCCAGGCAGACAACTAGCATAACACTCTTATTACTGAAGTGCTTTATTGTGGAAATAGCGAAGTGGAATGCCTAAGGGAAAAACGTCTGTTTGAGGATGAGGGAAACGTATTAAACCCTGTTCAAAGAAACGTGGTCTCTTCAGAATTTCAAAGATGACCCCTGAGCCAGAAGACTGCTGCTTCGAGTTCCACCAGTGCAGGCTGCTGGCACCATCCCACATGCCCACGCCGAGCACGGGGAATCTCTCTGCGGCTGCTTCGCACTCACCTCTACTTTTCATGACACCTTTTGTGCATTCAAGAAATGCCTTGCAGTTCCTTGCCAATTATGCCTCATAATTCAAATACATTTTCCACATCACTCCGATGTCTCAGAGGATTCTCTGGGTGCCTGAAGTACCTCATTCATTTCTATGTTGGTTTATAAGTCTTGTAAGGCTTTTTTCAGGTTTCTAAATTCTTTCTTAACTGGTTAGGCCTGTGCATTTTCAGCTCCAAATCTACAGTTATAGTTGAAAAGTATCACTTAACAACAGAAAGGTATGATAACAAAGCAAGTCCCTCATTTTTCATTATACTGTCTGATTACATGTTCTCAGGCAAATCAGATAACCTGAGATTCATTCGACTCATCCACTGAGCGTAAATATTATCCAACTTTGCCTTTAACACTGCATTTTATAATCCTAGGATCTCAAAACCAAGAAACCAAGTAACAGTGCAAAATACACGACGTCTCCCTGAAGGAAAGCAACATCAGTGGAAAACTACTTAGTGTTGCAAGGAAATCTGTAGCCAACTTGAATTATAAAACTGTATTGGGTAAATCATTACGGATTAGAGTGCTTGAGTACAATCTAGCAGTCAGAGAAAGAATGAGAAATCCACAAAGATTTAAAAAATTAACTGCCAGAGGCAGAGATTAATATCTGTAATTTACAAATTATCTTTTAAAAGCACTAAAATCCAACAGCAAACCAAGTTAATCTCTCCCCCAAACTTCCTTCGTTCTCTCTTTTTCCCCTTAACTTTCTTTCTCTCTTTCTTACAATGCTTTCTTGAGGTTCTGATCACAGTATGATTGTGGTATCAGTCTACTGGAAACATAATCCTGATGATACTCCTTTTAAAGGATAATTTAATTAAATTAAAGCAGAAGAAAATTAATTTCCTCTGACTTTGTCTGCCTTTGAATACTTAAACATGTGCAATTTTACATGAAAAAAATTAAATCGATCAACTCCGAAACCTCAGATTTTATGAATTAGATACTTTCCCAGTGCCAATAAAAAAGAAAAATCAGGTCTTTTAAAAATCCAGTCATTGGGGAAAAGTCATTTGTTCATATTAAAATGTGTGTCTCTTCCCACTTGCAGTATGAGACTCTTTCAACGAAGAAAAAAAGAAAAGAAAAATACGGTTCTCCCAGAGATATCTCACATTTCTAAAGATGAAAGGGAAAAAAAATTCAAAAGACTGCATTAAGTTAGTTTCAACCAAATGTTGATGATCCTGGGAAAGCAAGAGGCTTCAGAAAGAAGGTGGCATACTTACTGCTGGAGGCAGACAGCTCCTTTGGACTGGAGGACATTGGCTGAGCACACATCTGACAGAGACAGTCCCTTCCATTAAAGGTAACTCGATCCCCTGGTGGAAATGGACGCCTGGAGAGTTAAAGAGAAAAATGTATTTCAGCAAGGTTATGCCAGAAATTCTCCCCTGTTCCGTTTTGCATTGAGTTTGCTGCTTCCCCCAGCGCAATCAATATTTTACAGAAACTCAGGCCAAATAGTTTCTGCAATGTGACCTTGGCAAAGGCAGGCACTGGAAGAAATCCAAACTGTGGATGCAAGCAGAGCAGAGGTTAGACTTGCCTCGTATTTTGGATTTAAAAAGTTATCAAACATTCTTTATCTGCTTTGGCGGTAGGGTTGGACTAGATGATCTCTAGAGGTCCCTTCCAACTCCTAACATTCTCTGATTATGTGATCTGAAGAGCAGAGGACAGTGAAATCCACTTAGACACAACATCTATATTTATGATGGTCTCAGTGTAATGTTGTGGGGAGCAAATCGTACAGAAGAGAACGCGAAGATTTGGAATTGATCTGGAGGCTAATTTAATCTGTATTCACCAATGACATATATGACTATATTACAGTGGATGTAGCAGTTTGCAAATAAATAAATAAATAAATAATGAATTATTATCCACATGCATTCTCCTGGAGATTTAAAACAAGTATCTGTGTTACAGAACCACCGCTGTAATTGCTACCTGTGCAGTTGGTGCTGGGAGAAAGGCAAAGGCTGAATGTGCTATGGAAGTTTGAGATTATTTGCTGAATCCAACAAAATATAACTCTTAATTAGTGTATGAAACAGGATGAACAACATTTTTTATGTGCCTTTCACTAAAATGAGAAGGCTCAGTAACTCCAAATCTTTAGTAAGTAGCTTTAGCTGCTGAGTACAGACCCCCCTACACCACACCTCACTCCAAAACAGTGCCTAACAAATGAACATCTGCTTGTTTCCACAAAACAAAATATTTAAGGCATTGTTCTAATTTCCTTTCCACTGCCACTCCTAAGTGGGCCATAAATTAACCAGCAGCAATACTGCATTTCATTAATCTATACCAATGACTCATCTTTTCTTCACTCAACATAAAAGGATTGATGCAAATCAACGTACAGAAAATCGATGTCATGTTTCATACTCTGTCATCTACTTTCATATTGTCCTTGGGAAATAAAACACAGCATATGATTACCAAATGCAGTAAATTCACACACTATTTAAAACCATAGGGGAAAGTTATCAGAATACTTTCAAGAGAAAAGATCTTGAAAAATGTGCCAAGATATAGGTCAAAGTACTTAAACTACTCATCAGTGATAGCTGCGAAGGATTAGGGCAGCACCTGGTAAGTCTGCCACACTAATCCTCAGACGTATCACATGATGAGATCTCCAACAAGGTGCTGTCTCAGAATGTAGATTCTTGCCTTTCTTGTTCAGTCATCCTCCTGCGTTAAGTTTCAGCCAACTGGAGTGCTGACTGCTGTTGGATGCTGGCTCTGGAGAATTCCGCTGTCTTACTGCCCTCCAAGGCTTCCTCCAAAGGAACAGGTCCTGTCTTTGGGTCGTCCCTTCCTATGAAATCGCTCTACATCTCCGTCTGATGCCTCTTATGTGTCCCTCAGGCATTACACTGAGACTTACTAACAAAAGTTCCATTTTACTTGCAGGGCTTAGAACTGCAGAAATGAACACCCTGGTGACCTTTTTAATTGCATCTTATGAAGTACACATGTGACACAGTTCTCTGTAGAATCGTGACGGCACCATAACACCACTTTACTGTCACTTTACATTTAGATTACTGTTACTACAAAAATGTGCCACATTTTGGACAAAGAGAGGGATCACAATGGTCTCAAAGCCATGAATACTTACATGATGTGAAAATGAGCCTTCAGTATAATTTCAGTTGTTTAATTGTTCTTATAGCCCAAATGACTTCTCTATCAAAGTGTCCAGAATTTTGCTTTACCTCATTTCTCACATCGAGCTGGGCTGATCACCTGAACTCAACTCAATCCATGCTGACATGTAAGTCTGGTACTTAATTTTTTCACATGTGAGAGTAACTTTCTAAGAACAAGAAACTTTATGTAATAGAGAAGCTGTGGCCCCCAAATAAATAGGTGGCATTTTGAAGACCCTCAAAATCAGACTTGCAGCAGATCTTTTCCAACCAAATGCTTCCCAAAGAGAAATATGTCTTGAGATTTGTGTCTCATGGCAATACCTTTCTCCCCGTTTCCCTTGTACTGGGTTCACATCACATTAGTTGAAAGGGATGACTTACTTGCAAACAGTACAGGCAAAGCAGCTTGGATGATAAGTTTTTCCCAGAGCTGTCACTACTTCGCCTTCCACAAACTCCCCGCAACCATTGCAGCGGGTACCATACATGCGCTGGTAATCCAAGGTGCAAAGATATTCCCCATTCTTAATGAAAAAGCCTCCTTGTGCCAAGTCACAGCCACACACTGGAAGAAAAAAAACAAAACACAACACACATAGATTGGAAAAATATCCTACTAAGGATGTCAGAAACAATCTATGCTGGTGGCAAATGAGATGACTGGTGGTCTTGCTCCCTTCTATCAGATTTTTGTTTTCTCCTCCCGTACATGTCTTGACAGCCCAGGACTTGGCTGGTATTCTCTGGCTGCGAGAGACCTTGTAATAAAGACTTTCCTTGGAGGAACCTACATAACTGTAACCTACATGTCCTCGCTGAGACCTCAGTTATCTCGCACCATCCAGTTAATCACGTTATCAGAGCTATTTGTACCATAGCAATCTTGCTTTCACTTCTGGAACTGGAGGTGAGCACAAGAAAAGGACAAATTCTACTATTTTATACTCTAGCATACATTTCTCCTGCAATCATGTGCTTTAAGAAGCCTTTGATGTGCTGATTCTTTTTGAAACAATGAATATTTTAGAAATTCTGTATGGCTTAAATTAACTCTTCCAGTCCCCAGATAACACTGAGCTGCTTCTTCACCATCGCTGCATCAATCCTTTTTGTTTTGCTTAAAAAAGTATGATCTTTGAAACGTTCCTGGTGATTTTGCAGTTTTAATTTAGACATAAATACTTAGAGAAAGCTGCAGTGAAGAGACAATAAAGCACTGAAAATCTAGCCACATCTTCACTTTATACACTTCACGATATATACAGCCAAACTATACAATAGTATATTGGACACCGAACAAAGTCAAGAGGAAGAGTTTTCCCAGGTGTATTCTGAACAAAGAAATGTCCCAAGAACTACTACCTTCGAGTGCCAAATCCACACTGGTCTTGTGTCAGTTTTTTATATATTGTCTCCCTACTTCACAGATAATACAACTCTAACATTTGGATATAGACTTGTGGCCGTGTACAACTACACTAGGAAAAATATTTGTATGAGTAGAAGGGTGAAGGACAAGTGAAGGATTTCTGTACCTTTGCAGTTCTTCCACTGTTACATGCTTATTCACCCAATTGAAACCACATCACAGCCAGGTGCCTCTTGTGCTTTAAGAAAATAGTCAGAGTGCTACATTGGCATTTCTGGTCAACACAGGAGACTGCGGCAGGTGCACTGCCCCGAGTCTGGGATGCCTCCTCTCACAGCGGTTGCCAAGCATATTTCAGAGAAACTGCTGGAAGTTTCTGGCTAGTTTGGGCATAGCCCACCAGCCTAGGTGTACACCCAAGAAGTTGGCTGGTACCCAACAGGAGGCCAGTATGGCTTTGACTGACCACAGCTCAGATTTGACTGAGCTTTAAAACGGGGTAGTGCCAGGGGTGTGTTGGAGTAAGTCCCTTGGGAGCAGCAGGTCCTGCAGTTGGGGCAGAGCCTCCCCCTTGGGCTGGGATGCTGGCCAGGGGCACGCCTCGAGGTTGAGAGTCCTCATCTTTATATGGGTGAGTGTATATACGATCCAGATCATTATTCTAAGTTTAAGAGTTGGGTGTAGTGTAGTAATTGCTCTTCTCAACCAATACCAGAACTTGTAAATTTGTGGGAACTGTCATTTCTTAATAAATTCAGTTTAATTACGCTTGTGGATTAACTGAGAATGGGAGCACTCCTCAGAGACAGAAAGCAATCCATCCCATAACAGTCAAATACTATGAAGAGAAAGTGCCGTGGGAAATGGGAGGCTGAGTTTCACACTTGGGCTTTAACTCGGGTTGGACAAAGGACTAGAACGCACCTATTTAACGTCCTGCAGTAGCACCAAAAATACCACTTGCTTCATGCGAGCTTTAAAAAAAAATCTCTTTTTTCACCTTAGCGACAAAACATGAATAGGAGCTGCCAGATCAATTCTTACACAAATATATACATGACTGCTCCCAGGCATTTTGGTTTCGGTCACTCCTACTGCTCCTCTGCATTTTGCTTTATCTGTGTAATTCAGTAACAGAAACTACTTTTCGCAGCAGTGTAGGATGCTTGCCTGACTCTTACGCTGCAAGCAGTTCCATCTCATCCTTCTTCATATGATTCAAGTACATTCAGATCAAATATCAGAAATATCCAGAAATATCGAATATCAGAAATTTTGATTATTAAGGAAAAATAAGCAAGCAGCATTCTAGCTCCCTGCAGTTACTGAGTCCTTGAAAAAATAAGACATGAAATACAGAAAGACTATCAGAGGAACTGGGTTCAGCTCATCTCTGCCATAAATTCCAAGCGTGATGTTGTGCACAACATTTGTTCTCTCCCCATTGTAATGGGCTAATATGTTATTAACTACCTGCCTTGAAAATTAAAAGGAGTTTGGGGCAGGGATTGCAAACTCTCTGTTTGCCTGTTGCCAAGCCCTGGAGGTCTAATGACAGTTACTGTAACAATAATTAAGAGAATAACAGTAAACAGAATGCACTAAAATGCAGTTTAGAATTAAAGCAGCACCAGTACTAGCATTTTTCTGGTTCCACATTTCTGCATAAAACAGCGTCAATATTCAATATGCAAATAAATTGCATTTCATGGTGGCATTAAATCCACAAGCAGCCAAAACTCAGTTATCAATGACTTAAAAGAATTACAGAGAACTACTATTAAGGCTCTATTACAACGCTCCAAGCTGGTTTTCAGCTATACCTCCAGTAAAAAAAAGCCTCTTTCATTCTTTTGGGTTTTTTTCTACTGATCTCCATTCTATTTCATGTACTATTTTCAAAGTAACAGCACAATATCATGTAACCATTAGGCAGAAAATACTGTGACCTCTACCCCACACCACCATAGACCCTTCCTGAGCTGGGATCATCTAGTCATTTTCTGCTTGAGATCCAGAGGCAAAACCTAAGTCTCCTTACAATTGCTTTGCTTTTCTGAACTATTTTTGGTGGATGCTTACTATTAAATCACAGAGTAACTGAGGATTCTACTTGAATGTCTAAAAGTTGTTAAGGATTACTTTAGTATCCAGACAGTTAGATTCTCTGGTTACAGAGTAGTGGAGCATTGTGGTTAGGTGGTCAATACTAGAAGCTTCATAAGCTGCTAAATTTCATAAAGAGCTACAGAGTACTCGTGTGTATGCGCTTATTTAAATTACATCTTATAATCTGGCTTCTAGCTTTAACATCCAAGTCTCTATATACATCAGCTTCAAGCTGAAGGCACTCAGCATGCTGCTGGATCTGGCTCAGAAGCTGCATATATGAACTCTCTGGCTCTTTACTCTGGTCCACAGTTCTACCAATGAGTCATGTTTTGAAACACTTGCTTAGTCATTCCAGCCCTCTTTACCTGCCTAGGCAATGGGTCTAATAAGGTAGGATGATCAAAAGTAACTTTCAATGCAACTTCTCTTCTAGTTTCTCCTGAAAATCCAGCTTCAATGGGCCATACTGAGGTCTGTGGCAGATCACTGCTTGCAAAACCCTACAAACTGAATGAAAGGGTTCACACACGTAGTTAGTAAGCTCTGTCCCTTTACCGTGGCCACAGGGATTCAAGCCTAGTTACAAAAAATGGGGGGGAGAATTATTTGGCAAGTATTTTAGAGATAATAATTACTACTACTCAAAGTAAGCTCCCTCTGTTGCCCTTTTCTTCATGAAGTCTTCTTTCCACGCCATCTCTTCTTCTTTCTGTCAATAACTTGGTCTTACTGGCAAGTCACGAATTCAGGCACAGGCAGAACTACTTATGATGTGAACTACCAGCAGGTTCATCATCTCTGGCATACTCCCAGCAGGAAGCACGCAGCAATCTGCAAGAATTAAAGATGAGTCCTGGCAACCCCACATTACAACGGATTTTTGCAGTCAATTTAGCACATGTGTTCCTATCACTAATCACAGCTTTAAGCTACATGGGCAAAGCAAGGGTCACCCAGACTGTTAATATCCATGGTTGGAAAAATGCTGTTCCAGCCGGCTGCCTTCACTTCCAGTCAGAGATCAAAACAGAAAGGATGAACACGACTGTATCCACACTTGGTGTACAAACAAGGAAAGGATTTAAACAGTTTCCTCTTTTTTTGGTTGGCTGTTTTTCTCCTTTTTGCAACTATGTAGAAGTCGTGGTTCTGACAAGAAGCCCCCTTTGAGCTTAAAAACGTTGCCTTAGCATATATATTTATGACCACTGCAGAAATACTACTAAAAAGGTGGAAAAGTTGTGATTATTTTTTAAAAAGACCCAGTGTCATTCATACCACAGACAGCAGAGGTAATGAAGAGAAATCACCTGTGAAATACTACCGAAAAGGTGGAAAAGTTGTGATTGTTTTATTTTTTAAAAAGACCCAGTGTCATTCATACCACAGACAGCAGAGGTAATGAAGAGAAATCACCTGTGATTGCTACATAGGTACAAAAAATATTAACAGTGTGATCAAGGCAATTGCTATGATATAAATATCATGTCTTCAAATAGTAATTATTTCCAAAATTATGACAGTTAATAGGAAACATCAGATTACATTCTTTTGTATTTTGCTATACTGATGGGAAAAAAAACTTTGAAAGAATTACTTTGTGGCGCCATCAGCGACACATAAATCATGTTTGAGAAAGCAAAAAGCAAGAGGTATTCTGTAAACATCCATCACACAGAAGTAGTTTTACAGGAAAATAATATTTCCCCAAGACCCTTCCTGCGTGATACGATGGAAGAAATTCTGTTATATATGACCAGAATGTCCTTTCTGAAACAGGAGACACTGGGGAGCAATTCTGTTCCCTGAGATACCACAAGCAAACAAAAAACCCCAGCATTTTTCTTTAAACGAAGAAAGAAAATCATTATCTTTAACAGCTCCTGGAGGAGCTCAGCCTTTTCCTCAGAGTCTGTGTATCAAAGAATTTCATATTCCAAACAGATGATCCTGCCTGTCTTGTGAATGGAACAAGCTAGAATACAGTTCTGCCTCTCACTGTATGGTAAAACACCAACCTGCTAGCTTTTTCTCTCTTGAACTACTCTCCAGAGCTACTATTTTGCCTCCTTGGAGCACCAAAA